CGTAAACACTATGACATCATCCAGGTACACTAGGGCTATCCTCCATTGTAGGCCTTCCAGTACTCTTTCCATCAGCTTCTCAAATGTTGCTGGAGCATTTTTAAGCCCGAATGGCATCACACAGTATTGCCAAGGACCTTGGTCATAACTAAATGTAGTCTTAGGTTTATCTGCTTCAGCCATTTTCACTTGATGGAAACCCGACTTTAAGTTCAGAGTTGAAAGCCACCTGGTTCCACTTAGGGCTTCAAGAGTATCATCAATTCCTGGCAGCGGGTATGAGTCCTTTTCAGTTACACTGTTAAGAGCCCTGAAGTCCACACAGCAGTCTTGGGTCCCATCCTTCTTCTGGGCTAACACGACAGGAGCTGACCAGGGACTATCTGATTCCTCGATTATCCCTTCTTTAATTAGGCCATCCATGACCTTCTCCATCTCTTGTCGCTTTGCCAGGGCTATTCTTCTTGGAGAGATCTTTATTGGACGGTGATTGCTTGTGTTTATTCTGTGTTCCATGAGGTCTGTGCAGCCGAGGTCATGATCTCCTTTTGAAAAACCATCTGCATAATTCGCCAAAAGTTCTTTCACCTGAAGAGCCTGTGATGATGACAAATGGGCTATGCTCTACTTATAGAAGTCAGTTAAATGTTCTGGGAGAGGATGTCCTTTCTTTATGCTTGTATTTCTTGCCTTAACATTGACTGGCTCTACTTCCTGGCACACACCCAACAATGCCCCTTCCTTAAGTGTCTGCTCACATTTAGGGAAATTAGCCACTGTTATGTGTACTACTTGATGACCTGCCGCAAGTGACCTTCCAATCTTCACGTACGCTAGCCTGGATGGGTCTTCCACTGCTTCCACAAGCATCAGTCTTCCTTGGGGATGTTCTTTTAGTCTACCCCCAAACTATCTTCTCTGTCATAGGGGTATTGAAGTTGACTTAAGTACTGTGACATGCAAATCAACAGATGCATCAACACTTACTGGAATTTGGCCTTTGTTGTTCTCAAACGTCATTTTATCGAAGTTAACTACACACTTCCTTGGTAGTAAGTAGTTCAACTCTAATATGCATTGGTCTTTAAGGTCAGCCAAGTATACTTTGTGTCTGTCCTTTATGCCCATGAGCTCAATAGTTAGACACACTAGTCCCCACAACCTTGCATAATGACCTGTCACACCACAGAGCTTCTGTATGGCTTCTGGTACTCCTTTGTGATATAGCACCTTGATACTCACAAGGGTTTGCTGAGATGAAGAATCTATGAAAAAGTTGCACTTTTGGCCATCCAGCTTTCCTGTCACGTAGACAGTATGTGTGCTTGCCATTTTACAGCTGTTCGGACTTTCACAATGAGGGTTGGTGGGCACCCCTCAGCACCAACCATTACTGGTTTCCCGAAGCTGACTTATTGGTAGTATTCTTCTTACACTGGCTCCTCATATGTCCTTGCTCTCCACAGTTCCAACAACCTATCTGGGTAGCAGCCTTTCTTGCTATAGCATCTTTCTTGTGTTGAAGTTGTGGCATTGAGATCTCTTGTGTCCCAGTTTGTTACAGTACCAGCTAAGTCCCTCAAACCTCTCTGAAAGCTGCCCCTTTTCTGGCCTTGAATTCTGATGACTGTACCAACCTTGGTACCTCTGTGCTAGACTTACCATAGGATTCAAACTCAAGAGCTTTGGCTATTGCATAGTGTATAGTACAGGGGTATGCTTGCTTCACTTATATCTTCAGTTTTGGGCTGTCCAAGGCATCTACAAACTGATCCCTCAGCAACAACTTGAGGAGATCGGGTGGTGCAGTTGGGTAGGCCTTGTGTGTCATATTTTCCAAATTCTGTGCCAGCTCTTGCAGGCTTTCCCCTTTAGCACGGACTTTCGTCCTCTAAACCTAGCCCTGTAGACTTTGGACTGATTTTGAGTTCCATACCTGAGTTCTAGAGCAGCTACCAGTGCTCTATAGTTGTGCCTGTCATCTGCTGACAACTGTCCAAGCATTTCCAGTGGTTGTCCCTTCAGGTTCATTGCCAGGTACACTGCTTTCTGCTCCTCTGTCCATCCATTTATTTCTGCCAGGAGCTCAAATTGTGCTCTATATGCTTCCCACCGTGCCTTCCCGTCGTATTCCTGTGGCTTCCTTCATATTGGATCACCCTTATTACTGACACTCATGTCTGGAATGTGACTTCTGGCATGACTGAAGATGTCTGCATTAGGGTTTAGCTGCAGGGTCTGAAAGAGGCTTCCTGTTGTCTGGGACTGATTAGGTCCCTGGTTAATATATCCTCCCTGTGTAAAAGACAGTACATCGTCTATTACTGCATTTAATTCACTTTGAAATTTACTAATGTTTTCCGTTTGTACTTCTTGTTCCAGTTGCCACTGCTGTAATCTCTCTTCTTTTTTTCTTTTCTTGTTCTTGTTTCTTTTTCCTCCAACAACTGTTGTAATTACTCTTCTTGTTTCTTTTCTTTTTCCTCCAACAACTGCTGTAATTTCTCTTCTTGCTTCTTTTCTTTTTCCTCCAGCAACTGCTGTAATCTCTCTTGTTTATTTTGCTGTTCGAGCTGCCATTGTTGTAAATTTTCTTGCCACTGCTGCAATCTTTCTTCTTGTTTCTTTTCTCTTTCTTCTTGTTTCTTTTCTTTTTCCTCCAACAACTGTTGTAATCTCTCTTGTTTATTGTGCTGTTCGAGCTGCCATTTTTGCAGGTTTTCTTGCAACTGCTGTTGTCTCTCTTCTTGTTTCTTTTACTGTTCTTGTATTGCTGCCATCAAATCTGCTAAGCTGTAGTTTGATTTGCCGCTTCTCGTTTCCATTTTTTTTTTCTGTCCCACTCTCTGACATCAATTTGTTATGCTTCCGGTCGTTAGTTAATTTTCCGTAAAAATTCTTTCAGAAGAAACTTTAGCGATACAAGTCCTTTCTCAAATAAAACTGGTTTATTCTTTCTGAATACAACTTTGCAATACACTTAATTTCCACAGTCGCGCTATAACAAACGATATAATTCACAACGAACGCCTCACGTGCTCGACTCAACAATATGTCTCTATGTCCGCAGTTCAATTACTTTGTTGCCGTCACGTCTTGACCGGTTTATATATACAAGACTACCGCACTTTCTCTTTGAAATATGTATTGCTTTGATATATATGGAAAACAAAACCAAATGATACCAAAACAAGGAAGGGACGTGAACGTTCGAGAATATGACGTGTTACTAGCGTTACGTGACCCCCGCTGTTGTAACAATATTATTACCAACAGTGCCCTTCAATCACAAATAAACTTGAAACTGGGTCAATGCTCAAACTATTGCCAAACATTTTCAATGGTTAAGTAATTCTGTTGACATTTGTGACAAATAGTATATGTTTCTTGTTCTGACTGAAATCATTCGAATATTGTTATGTGAAAAAACAAACATGAAGCACAATCTGTCATTCGATTTACCACCTGTCATTGTGTTTTACCTACTTTGGAGACTTCCACCCTTATTATTAGACCTAGACTAGGCTTCATATACTGGGCACCGTCACACCAAACATTCCCGCCCTTTCAGCCGTGGGGGCGTTATAAGGTGATAGTCAATCCCACTATTCGTTGGTAAAAGAGTAGCCCAAGAGTTGGCGGTGGGTGGTGATGACTAGCTGCTTCCCTCTAGTCTTACACTGCTATA